AAACTTTCAAACAACGCGTTTGGCAAAACTCACAGCATACCGAAAACTCGGGGCATGTGAGTTTTCCACGAGTTTCACATCCGCCTGATCACATCAGTGCCGGATCGACCCGTCGTAAAAAAAAACGAAGTGGGTCTTCCGTTCTTTTCATCAGCACAAACGAGTCCTAGACTGCACGGGTCGTAGCGATATGCGTCATGGACGCCCCCATCGCTTCATCTGCGCAGAGTCCATCAATGGATCAAAGCGCGACAGGATCTGCCACAGATGTCGCCGAAGCAACCGCGAAAGATAGACAAGTAGAAGGTTCTAAAAAGCGGTCCTCTCCAAACGGCCCCCCTCAGCCTGTCAGGAAGACGAAACACATCGCCCTTTCGACTGAGAACGTTTCTATCCTTGTGGCGAGCTACAATATTCGCTTCAGCGAGTATTCGCGTAGGTGCACGTGATTCCGTCGGGCGGCACAAGGATGTACCAGACTTGCGTTTGTTGCGGGCAGGTACCTACCTTGCTGGAGGTCAGTCCGCAAAACTGGTGGTGGAATTTTCAACCTCGGGTTTACTTTACGTCCAGCGAGTTGTGGGCAAATGGAAAAAAACAACGCGTTATTTTACGGACAAGCTTACCGAATGACCGAAATCGGAACTCGATTTCACCTTTGGAACCTGGCGACGCGCAAGTTGGTCCCGTGCAGCCATGCCGGCAAAGCCTTGTCATACACGTGTCAGTATTTATGACAAGCGGAAAGCACCGCCCTTTAAGGAGTTGAGATTGAACCAGATCAGCCTCATAACGCAAACTGATCGTAACGAAGGACGACTGTGCTGCTACAGTAGTCTGTCACGATTACAATGGGCCGAGATAGGGGAATACGTTCTCGAGAGTACATCTCGAACGTGAGAAAGTAGTGCTTGCGCCTGCCCTCCGCTTCCCGCACGCTCGGGCTGCGACAAATATGATGAGTTGCTTGCAGCCGCGCAAATGAGTACACAGAGAAGCTTGCTAGGCCGAACTGGTGCAACCAAGATGCACAGCGAACACTTTGAGTGGCGACCATTAAAGGGATCACGCAAGTTGCGTGACTTGACATGGCAACGATTTTTCGTGAAAAGTTGAACACCTGACACCCCTCAGGACGGATTTTGTATGGAAAGCGATCTCATTTTTCAGTACAGTACAGTAGTCTCTCTTTAAAAGAATGACCCGCAAAAGAATATTCTTTTTGGTAGAATACATACACTGTTTCCCGTCCTGGGAATGGCCAAAACATCCCTATTTTCATGACATTTATTCATATACTGTACGACATAAGGATATACTGTAGTATTTCGAATGTCTCTTTATCCCATGGAGTACAGTATGTAGAAGGGAACGTATTTTGGTCCTCTAAAACGGCCAAACAGAAGTCCGAGATCTGCTTGGTATAATGGTCAGACGGATGTTCCGAATTTGGCTGTACTAAATTACGCTACCTTCGGTGCATCAAAAGAGATCTCTTGAGAGATCGCTGAGATCAGCTGGCAAAGTGCAAACGCAGAAGCAGACGAGAATTGATTCCTTCTTCCACTGGTGAACTGCCTGTAATCCTTGAAGGAGATGTGAATGCTCCTGGATTGCAGGGCAGTCCTGATGACCTTTGTGACACGTGCCGGTGAGAAACGTTGGCCGTTGTTGGCGAATAAGAATGTCTGGCTTCGTCACCATGGAGAGCTCTGACCATTTCGCATTCCAAGGGGCGAATGACCGACAAGTATGAGA